TCCTGCTCCTGAGCATATATCCAGAAGGAACCCTACTTCAAAATGACACCTTTAGCCCAATGTTCATAGCAGCACTATTTACAATAGCCACGACATGGAAACAGCCTAAATGTCCATCAACAGATGACTGGATAAAGAAGATGTGGCATATTTATACAATGGAATACTATTCAGCCATAAAAAGTGACAACATAACGCCATTTGCAGCAACCTGGATGCTCCTGGAGAATGTCATTCTAAGTGAAGTAAGCCAGAAAGAGAAAGAAAAATACCATGTGAGATCACCACATTTTAGATGTGGAATCTAAAAAAAAATACAAAATAGAAACAGACTCACAGACATAGAATACAAACTTGTGGTTGCCAAGGGGGTGGGGGGTGGGAAGGGACAGACTAGGATTTCAAAATGTAGAATAGATAAACAAGATTATACTGTACAGCACAGGGAAATATATACAAGATCTTATGATAGCTCACAGCAAAAAAAAATGTGACAATGAATGTATGTATGTTCATGTATAACTGAAAAATTGTGCTCTACACTGGAATTTGACATAACACTGTAAAATGATTATTACTCAATAAAAAATGTTTAAAAAAGAAGATATGGTGTATACACACACACACAATGGAATATTGCTCAGCCATAAAAAAGAATGAAATAATGCCATTTGCAGCAACATGGATGGACCTGGAGATTGTCATACTAGGTGAAGTAAGTCAGACAGAGAAAGACAAATACCATATGACATCACTTATATGTGGCATCTAATAAAATGAGACAAATGAGCTTATTTACAAAACAGAAACAGATTCACAGAAATAAAAAACAAACTTATGGTTACTGGGGGAAAGGGGGTGGGAAGGGATAAATTGGGAGTTTGAGATTTGCAGATACTAATTACTATATAGAAAATAGATAAACAACAAGTTTCTACTGTACAGCACAGGGAACTATATTCAATATCTTGTAATAACCTATAATGAAAAATATGAAAACAAAACAAAACAAAATCTCGGTGGCTTAAAACAACAATCCTTTCTTCTCATGTTCACAGGTGTGTGGATTGGCCAGGAGGCTCTGCTCCTTAAGTCCCAGGCTCAGAGGGAAACTGGACATGTTTTTACTATGCAAAGCCAGAAGGTTCCAGAAGGACAAGGGGAAACCCACAATGCCCCTGGAGGTCCACATATAAAATAAAAATGTGAAGAGTAAAGAAAGCATATGTCCAGTGGAGAGAGCGAAGGGGGAAGGAAAAATCAGGGTATGGGATTAAGAGACACAAATTTTATACAAATACATAGAACCAATAAACTACAAGGATATACTGTACAATACAGGAAATATAGCCAATACTTTATAATAACTATTAAAGGAGTATAACCTTTTAAAATTGTGAATCACTATGTTGCACACCTGTAACTTATATAATATTGTGCATCAACTGTACCTCAATTTAAAAAAAGCACGTTTCGTGGTTTACTGGGCAGCCTTGGGGTACATAACAACGTGGTATCTCACAACCAGTGGCATCTTGATTCTGGTGAAACGCATTTGTCTTCCCATTCTACGGCTCACGTGTTTCTCTTCTTTCCCAATTTTCTAAAACTGAGCTTATACCAATTTTTCTAATGGCCAAGGGAATAAGTTAAAAAAGCTAACCCTACGAAGAGAATAATTTAGGAAGGCTAACTCTATGAACAAGCACTTTACAATAAAGGCAGGCCAACAGTGACTGCTATTTCAGGTTCACTATGATGATCATTTGCCCACATCAATGGACTTGGCACGTTCTTTGCTCTGGACTAGAGTTACATCAAACCTCTGAGACAAAAAGACTTCCATGGCTTAATACCGAACTGTGGGTTGCAAATTCCAGCTCTGGCCTTTTCTGTGCTGTGTCGCCTGGGGTGAGTCACTTAGCGTCTCTGATCCTCAGAATCCTTTTCACCCAAGCTTGTGGACTCCGCCCCCTCCTTGAGGAAGGAGTCCCACCCTCATGTGACTGGCCCCGCCCACCATTGCGCAGACCGTGTGGGCAGGACTCAGGGAGGACACGCCCCCTCCCCCACCCCCAGCCGCCCTGCCCTCCTCGGGCAGCTGAAACTCGTCATCCCACTGCGTGCAGGTGCATGGCCTTCTGGGAATTATAGTTTCGGCGACGCTGGCACTGAAGGCCTGAGTCTCTGCGCTAGCGCGGCGCGGCGCCTTCTGGGAGTTGTAGTTCTTGGGAGACCCGCGGGGTCCGCAACTCTCCCAGCGCGCACGCGCAGCCTATGCCGGCCCGGCGCTTGGACCAGTCTGTGGTAGCTGCCGCTTTGACCTGTGTTACCGCACGTCCGCGCCACCGCAGGACGAGGGATCACCGGAGGTCTGCATGGGCCGGGTAGGACCAGAGGCCATGGAAACTCTGACCCGAACCCAACAGGCTCGGCGGGAGCAGGCCAAGGCCTTCGGAGCTGGTCCCGGAGGCGAGGGCGCCGGTGTGTGGTGTGCGCGTGCGCGCGCGTCCCCTTGTGCGTCTGTGCCCCGCGTACGTTCTCGACTGCAGCAGCGGGTGGCTGTGCATGTGCGGTCCGCCCCGCGTGCCACCCCAGAACTTCGTGCCGTGCATGCGTGAACTGTGTGTGTCACTGTGCGTTTAGGCCCGCCTGTCACTGTGGGTTTACCTGTCCCTCCAGAACTTTGTGCCTGTGCACCTGTGCATGTGACTTCGCGTGAGTTCGTCCCCAAGGGATTGCTCGTGCCTGATCCTGGCGCGTGTTTATGCATTTGGGGACCTCTGCCTATGTGTGACTTTGGGCATGTGTATAACTTGTTTCCCTGGGTGTGAGGTGTGTGATTCCACGTGTGTGTGTGTGTGTCTGGGTGTGCAGTTGTGTAGGATGGCTCGGTGGGTGTGCCTGCCAGCATAGGGCTGGGTGGTCTGGGTGTGCCTGTGTCATTCTGTGGGTGCGTGACTACGTGTGAAGGGCTGTGCACGGGATATTTCTGAGGGTCACTGCCCTGAATCCCCTTACCCTCCCTGCACACACACAGAAGTAACATCCTGCGTTCTTGCTGCACCCGCTCACCTGCGCCTGCCCCAGCGTCTTCCTTCATGGGTCCCTGTCTCTTTCTCTCACAGATACCTACTGGACCCACTGAGGCATGGTAGCCAGGACAGGGGCCACCGCCTGAGTGACACGGACAGGACTTGATGCTCCCAAAACTGCAAGGTGGGTACTACTGCCTGATCTAGGGACCCAGTCAGTCTCTGCTCAAGCAAGAGGCTGCCTGTGGAGGTGGCACCAGAACTGGGACTGGCCCAGCCTGGCTTCCACCAACAAAGTTCTCACCTCTGCATGGCACACAAAACCTCACATGATCTGGCCCTCATCCCACTGTGGTCACTTAATCTTCCCTGCTCTCTGCCTGGGTCACTCATCTCCAGCCCTAACCCTGCCCTGCCCATTTACTTTTCCTCTATCAACCCTATTATGGTCCTGCCTCAGGACCTTTGCAAGTGCTGTGCACACAGCCTGGAATGCTCACTCCAACCCTTCCTCCAAGTCTCCACTCAGAAGCCATCATTTCACTGAGGCCTGCACTGGGGGAAGGCCTGCCTTCCAGGAAGATGGAACAGCCAGTGCAAAGGTCCTGTGGCAGGAGTGTGCCTGGCATGGTTGTGGAACAGGGAGGTACTAAAGGAGCCAGGAAAGCCTGTGAATGTGACTCTGCACACTGCGGGGAGCCAGCTGGAAGGCGGTTGCCACAGGCTGGGTGGAGGCATTGGTCAGGGGCTGTAGGCAGTGGGATGTATTCTGCCCAGGTGGCAGACATAGGGCCTTCCACATCCATGTTAACAGGGTCTTTCAGGGAAGGGTGTGTTGGGTTGGGGTGATAGTTGGGGAAACTCATCACCCCTGGGATGGTCCCCACTCAGCCCACCCAAGGGGCTGAACCCGTAGCCGGGCACTGATTTCTGTACACACAGCAGCCATCTAGATGGCTCAGAGAACACCTCCTGTGTGCTGGGGCTGAGGTTGATGTGAAAAAAGATCTCCATTCTCCACTGAGAATATCGAAAACATAGACTGTGTCCAACAGGGGGAGTATCTTTGCCAGCTACATGTCTGTATCTAGTGTGTATAGAGAATTCCTACAGCTCAACAACATGAAGACAAACAACGCAATTTAAAATGGTGGAAGGAGCTGAAACGGGTCGAAAGACCGTTGTCCAAAGGAGACATACAAATTACCAAAAGCACTTGAAAGGATGCACAACATTAACCATCAGGGAAACGCAAATCAAAACAACAGTGAGGTAACACTTCATAGCCACTAGGATGGCTAGACTCAGAAAATCAGATAACAAATGCTGTGAGAATGTGGAGAAACTGGAGCCCTCATGCACTACTAGTGGGGGTGCAAAATGCCAGTTTTGGGAACAGTGCAGCAGTTCCTCAACAGGGTAAATACAGACTTACCTTGTGATCTAGAAATTCCTCTCCTAGAAATGCAGAAATAAAAGCATATGTCCACCCCTCACACCCCTCAAAAGAAGACATATTCTGTGTAACCCTGCAGCAGTCTGGGGTCACCATCTCCAGTGAGGACTCTGGGCCCAGGGGCTGCAGGAACCCCATTTCACGGTTCTGTGAGCCTAGGAGACCCTGGTCAGCTGGCTTCCCCACCCTGATCCCTACAGAAGTAGGAGGGATCTGAGTTGAAGTGGTCCCCCCAAAATCCATGCCCACCTGTGCTTTAGGCAGCCCAGGCTACTAGTAGCAAAATACCATAGGCTGGAAGCTTAGACAGCCGACGCGCATGGCTCACAGCTCTGGAAGCTGGGAGTCCAAGATCAGGGCTCCAGCATGGTCAGGGTTCTGGTGAGGATCCTTCCTGAACTGCAGGTGGCCACCTTCCAGCTGCATCTTCACTGGACTTAGAGAGCAGAGAGAGGAAGCCAGCGCTCTAGCAAGGGCACTCACCCCATCCTGAGGGCCCCACCCTCCTGTCCTAAGCACTCCCCAAAGGCCCCATCTCCTAATATCTTCACACTGGGGATTAAGGCTTCATTCAGCATCTGAATATGCGGGGAACACAAACATTCCGTCCACAGCAACCTTGAACCTTGGGATGTGACCGCACTGGAAACAGGTCACGTTAATTTGCAGGCATCATTATCCGTTAAGGTGAGTCTTACTGGAGTCGGTAGGGCAGGCCCCAAGTCCAATCACTAGTGTCTGTATCAGGATGGGACACACAGATACACGGGGAACAGGACATGTGAGGATGGAGATGGAGGTTGGGGCCATGCAGCCACAGGCCAGGGAACACCAAGGATTGCCAGGAACCAATTTTCTAATAAAGTCACATTCACAGGCACTAGGGGTTAGGGTTTCAACACACCTTTTGGAGAGACATAATGGAACCCATATGTGTTCCATTAATCCCGTAACAGTAGGATTTAGAGGCATTTTTTGGTTGTCACATCTGGGGTGGGGGGCATCCACTGAGTAGAGGCCAGGGACACTGCTCAACATCCTGCCACCCACAGGACAACCCTCACGGCAAAGAATGATCTGACCCACACTGTCAGTAGACAGACCCTGCGCTGAGCCTTCTCCAGCCTGGAACAGGGAACAAACCTCTTCCTTCCCTCCTTGTCTTTCTTTTCTTTCTTTCTTATAAGAGAAGGAAGATATGAAATCAAGGCAACAGCTCAGGAAGCCAGGATGGAAGGACTCTTGACGATCGCCGCTCCCCGGGGCTCCGAGTTGGGAGAAACATGGAAACATGAGGGTCATTTCAAGGACAGACAGGAAAACGAGGAAAGCTACTGGGAACAGGAGGCCCACACGAAAGACCCCACCAGGGTGGGTGTCCCCGAGAATGATGGACTTGGTGGGAGCCCCGGAACCAGCTCAAGCCCCGCCAGTACCCAAGCCGACAACAGGCCACAGGGGCGCGGCATGCCAAGAAAGAGCGCCAAACCGAAGAACC